GTCTCCCGTTACGCGTCAAGACCCGAGAAATTCTGGTCTGAAAATTCCCCCCGAAAGAAACGAAGTCTCCGAGAGAGAAAAAAAAATGGAGTTACTTTTTTGTTTTGAAGTTAGGCCCCTATAGTTTTGCTTATTAACATATTTGCCTCTAATGTTTTTGTGAGTGTATCCTCTTTTTTTCGAGTAACTTATCAACGTGTGTCACAAGTCATTGTCGTATAGTACAAAATTAGTTACAAATAATTTATTTTTTTATATATAAATATATCATTAAAGTTATTCGTTCATCATAAGAAAATCGAATAAAGTTACCGATAAATTTGTGCTCATTTTATATTGTAGTAAGATGATTGAGTTTACGATACTAGCCACTTGTGGTCCTTGTGGATGAACTAAAACATCAAAGAATATATTTACAAAAATGGAAAACCAATACTTTAGAATATGCTCATGAAAATTGTCCCATGGTACTAAAAATGGAGATGGAATAAAACTTTCTCATATCTAACTCTTCTATCGTTTTCATATTCATGTATTGATAATATCTATTCCATTAGAAGAAGTCACGCTTCACATGCTCTTAGCAGAAACGATTTTGTTGACCAGATAAATTTTAAACATCTAATTATTAAATTAATTTTTTTTGATTTGACAGCCAATTATCAAAATAGACTGTATCAAGTGATATTGACTTTGTCAAAGTTATTTCAATCATTTTCCCATTTGAGAATTTAAAATATGTTGTTGTAGAATTAGAAAAAAGAAAAAAAAAAAAAGTAACTTTGACCAATTCAATACATAAATGCAATTTCATAAAAATTTGGGGGTGCTTATGAAAGTAGGGTAGTCCCTGAAATAAAATGCAACCGTTGCGAGTAGAGGGAGAAAAAGAGAGAACGACCATGGAGTCCAGTGGTGAAGATACCCTATAGATTCTATAATATTTTTCCACAACTGCCCCTTATAGGCTTCTGAATTCTCCCATTTCTCTGTAAGTTTTGATCTTTCTCAATCTTTACCTTTTTTTTTTTCCTGAAATTTTCTCCTGTTGTAAGCATGATGAGTAAAGAGAGAGAAAATTCGAGCGAATCTGAGAGCAAATATAGGGAGCCTAATAGTTCTGTTGATTCCGGGGGGAAAAATCTTGGGAGCCCAGAAAAGATCGAAACGTATCCGAAAAAGGGTTTGAGTTTTCTTGGGAAATCAAGCTCTGAAGTGAAAATGGTCTATGATGGCTGCGCTTCTGGGGCTGATGTTTCTCAGTCAAAGAAGACTGGGTCTTCTGGGTGTCAGGAGCTCACTCTGAGCTACCTCTGTGATAACTCCAAACTGGGGTTTCTAGATAGGGATTTGTCGTTTGAGAAAATGGGGAATTTCAAGGGGAAAGAGATAGCGGTTTCTGAGGATCAAATTGATGAGGGTAATAGGTGGGTGGAGAGGGATTTTCTTCAGTTGAATGAGAATAGAGGGAAGAGGGAGGCTGAGAATGAGGGAATTGAGGCAGAGAATAGGGAAAAGAAGCCAAAGATTGAAACTTTGAACCTCTCTTTGGCCTTGCCTGATGTTTCCCTCTCCCTGGCTGGGTCAAACCGAGTCCAAAATGGCGATCTCCCGTCCCGGTTGAGGTCTAGTAGGAGCATTCAGGAGCCAGAACCCTCACATAACAATACCCAGACGACATATTCGAACGATTTCACCGCTGCCTCGTTGTCGTACTCGTATTCGCATCCGTTCTCCCACAACCCCAGTTGCTCACTTACCCGGAACTCGACTGAGAATTACGAGTGTTCAATGGGGAGCCATAGGAGGGGGAGTGACCATATTTGGAATTGTGGGGAGGGAACTAATGGATCAGTTCATAGCCGGTTTAGACCGATTGGGGATGGTGGCGTTGCATTGTCTAATCATGGCAGTGGAACTTTTGCGTTCGGTGGTCGTGTTGGTGTGGTCAATAAGGAAACGTGTAATAACAGCTTCTATAGGACTACGAGTTCAGATAACAACTCGTTTTTCCCATCCGAGTTGCCTGCAAGGCCGAGGCTCGATGGCCAGTCAGGTGATTCAAGAGGAAAAGAATCAGACGGTTTGAGAGGTTTGGAAGGTATAGACGGAGGAGGAGGAAGAGTGCGTAAGCTCTCCCGGCCCGAGAGGATCCTTAGAGAGATTGTGTCGGAGTCGGTTCCTGTTATGGCTCAGATAATTCAAGAACTCCCCGAAGAAACAGTCGAATCAACGAAGGAATATTTGAGGAGTCTCGTCACAATGCCTGATAAGAAAGACGAATTATCGAGCCTGCAATACCGGGTTCAGAGGAGGTCAGACCTTACAAACGGGACTCTCTTGAAATGCCACAAGAGTCAGCTCGAAATCTTGGTTGCCATTAAATTAGGCCTCGAAAGCTTCTTATCGAGCAAAACTCGTCTCTCTACTGCAGAGCTAGTAGAAATTTTTTCCCTCGAAAGGTGTCGAAACATAAATTGCAAGAGGCCTTTACCCGTCGAAGACTGTGATTGCAAGATTTGTTCTACCAAGAAAGGATTCTGCAGCGAGTGCATGTGTCCCGTCTGTTTGAACTTCGACTGTGCCAACAATACTTGCAGTTGGGTAGGATGCGATGCGTGTTCACACTGGTGCCATGCCGTTTGTGGCATTCAGAGAAACCTCATAAAGCCAGGTCCCCGCTACAATGGTCCCTCCGCAACAACCGAGATGCAATTTTACTGTCTCGGATGCGGTCATGCTTCGGAGATGTTCGGGTTCGTTAAAGATGTGTTCAAGTCCTGCGCAAAGGATTGGGGAGAGGAAACCCTTATTAAAGAGCTCGATTGTGTTCGGAAAATCTTTCAGGGGAGCGAAGATTTTAAAGGCAAGGAGCTGCATGTTAAAGCCGATGAGTTGCTCACGAAGCTCGAGAAGAAGACAATGTCTACATCGGATGTTTGCAATTTCATTTTCCAGTTCTTCAACTGTAAGTATCCACGCTTTACCCTCTTGCTAATCCTTTGAACTGCTACTTTTATGATGTTTTTGTTGGTAGTAATTGGATATATAGCTGCATTGTGCTTTTTACTGCTAAAAGGAATTTGAAGTTTAAGATGTTCTATGTTAGTTGTCAGCGGGAATAGTGTTTAGCGAGTGTTAAGAGTCCACATTGATAAAATAATAGAGAATATATGGGTTTATAAGGTCATGGGTTAGACTAGCTAATTGATTGGATTCAATCTTTTAGTCTGGTTTGGTCATGTGCATTATAGCCCAGTTGAGTGACCCTAGTTTGTAACAACGGTGTTGTTTTGTTCTTCAATGTAGTTCGATCTAAGGATGTTGATGTTTTTGTTTGATGAACAGACGCGGATGGCTTGTCCGACTTTCCTGTTTCGAACTATCTTTCGAAAGACACGGCAAGTCAATCGAGCCTGAAAAAAGTTGTCAGTCTTCCTTCGACCGCCTCCCTTGTTCCCAAATCGACATTCTACAACAACATGAACTCGTCGAGCAGTAGACAGGATTCGGTCCCAGCTGACCATCAAAACGAAGCAAAGCCGCCTCCCTTCACGAATGACCAAATCGTTAAAGACGAATGGTCCGTGAAGGCACCAAAGAAACCCGCGCTCGACACTTCACCGAAGAAAGCAGCCGCACTCGACAGCTTGGAAAGCGTGGTGCGCATTAAAGAAGCCGAAGCGAGGATGTTCCAGAACAAGGCGGATGAAGCGAGGAGGGAAGCGGAAGGGCTTAGGAGGATGGCGAGGATCCAAGGCGAGAAGGTGGAAGAAGAGTACACGGAGAAGATGTCGAAGCTGTGCCTGGTGGAAACTGAGGAAAGGAGGAGGAAGAAGCTGGAGGAGCTCAAGACGCTCGAGAATTCGCACTGCGATTACTACAAGATGAAGATGAGAATGCAGGGCGAGATCGCGGGTTTGCTCAAGAGAATGGAAGCTACAAAACAGCTTTTGGTGTTAACCCCACACTGACTCTTGACAAATTTTCTCCAGTGCTGTTTTAAGGTTCATTCCATTATATGTTTTTGCTAACTTTTAAGGTTTTTTTTTTTGAGATTGTCTTATTGTTTCATTGTAGCCTATCCATTGGCGTTTTCTTCTTTAAAATTGGTTCCAGATGATGTTGAATGGCTTGCTCCTCTCATACTATTGTATTAACCGTTTTTTTTTCTTTACATACTATGGTTGTCTATAGTAAAAAGCTCTGTTATTAAACAATAGAAAAATGACATGTTTGGTCTTTTATATTTGAAGTACATATTATTTTGCTTTGAGGAATTTGTTCTGATGAGGCACTTTCAGCCAATCTCAAACATCGCAACCAACCAAACAGCAAGAACCTAGCTTAGTGCTAGGAATCAGGTACTTAATTGCATTTTGAAAATGTTCTTTGAGATGTTCCACACTACAAATATTCTCATGAAATTGCCATTATATTGTTACATAATGCATGTTCGCACTACTACAAGGAATCCAACTCCAAATCGTATTATCTGCACAGGAATTCATTACTCTACAACTGTCAATTCTACTGATGATCGAGGGCTCGAGGTTCATCCAGTTATTTTATTAAATCTTAGGCATGTGCAGTGTATCAGTACATGCATACTCATGTTCACACGACCACAAGGAATCCAACTCCAAATCATATTATCTACACAGGAAGATTCCATCACCCTACAACTATCAACTCTACTGATCGAAGACTCGAGATTCATCCCGTTATTCTTATTAAATCTTAGGCATGTGTATCAGTACATGCATACTCATGTTCGCACGACCACACAAGGAATCCAACTCCAAATCATATTATCTAGAGAGGAATAATCCATCACCCTACAACTGTCAACTCTACTGATCGAGGACTCGAGGCTCATCCAGTTATTCTTATTAAATTTTAGGCATATATACATGCATTTGAAATATTATCACAAAAATATAAACATATCGTATCATATAATATCATAGGAAAATTTTCCAGGCGTTTCGACTATTATATAAAAAAAAAGAGGGTATAAATAAAATAAAAATAATTTCAAAGTAAACTGACCAAGATGACTAAGTCATATCATACATATACAACCCATGAAAACATGTAAATATGTATAGAAAGAGAGAAAATATATATATGTGATCAGGGTGCAGGGAGGAGGGCAGTGAGGGCAACAGAGATGGCAAAGAGAAGGATGAGCAAACCAGTGAAGTTGATGACTAATCCTTCTTGGCTGTGCTTTGTGAGTTGCAAGAAAATGAATTTCTCAGTCAAGCCTGTGAGTGCTGCAATGGTTGCCATTGAGAAGATGATGATCCCTAGAAGAGCATGCCATGGTGCAATCTTTGCCCTTGTTGAGCTCCTTGCTCTTGGGAACATGAAGGTCAAGAAGGACAAAACCCACTGCACATGCATATATATGCCCACAATATAACTTTAATTAGCTACTTGTAATTTGTCTAGTGTTACTACTGGATATTAATTGAAAGACGTGTTCCGTCTTACTTGAATCTATAAAATTTTTGATATATTTTTGTACTCGTATAGTGGAAATTAGGGAATGCATTATGCACATTGTAGGCTAAGTCCAATGGGTTGTGCACAAGAAAGTGTGATAAAGCGGGTTGTGCTAAGTTCATATATTCAGTTCTTACTAATAACATTTTGCTTCAAAATAGGTGGCCGAGTGGGTGAAACATCACTCTCGTATTTGAAGGTTACTCAGTTCAATTGAACTTGTATAAGATCTTCCTAGTGTGATTTACCTCTCACCATGTAATTACATAGAAGCGAAGTTTACCTAGTGCACACCTTCAATAATGGCTATATGTTTGCCTCATCACCAAGAAAAAAGAAAAAAAAAAAAAGAAAAAAAAAGTGATTGACAATTGTTTGCCACTTTACTGTTTTATTTATTTATTTATTTTTAAATGAAATGTATAATATATTGGGTGATAATATAGAAGTAACTATCTCCTAATCATTGTGAATGTTCTAATGTTTGGCATTACTCTAAATATGAGACATACAAAGATGGAAGTGACAACATAATGCAAGTCAAATAAATTTCCAACCATTTTATAAATAAAATTTACTATTCATTAATCAAATCTACTCATTAATTGCATATTTTTTTTAATATTTTCTTATAATTTAAAATTTAGCTACTTGAATTTAATAATATTTTTATATAATTTTTAAATATATAAATTTTATATACTAACTCTAAACTAAATGCTACAAAAAATTAAATTAAAAACAACTTTAATCATACTTATTTAACGAGCTCAATACAAAAAATGATTATCTATAAAGTGGTCAATATGACACCAACTTCACTCTCATTCAATCACTCGTCAATTTTTATTTATTTATTTTATAATACTACTTATTAATTTCTTCATTGATTCCCCAATTTTCCCAACGAAACACATCATTTTCAATCCAATTCAATCTATCAAATCTAATTTTTAATTCAATTTTCTAATCCACTATTCCATATCTCCACTTTTAACCAAATGGTCTTTGGACTTGCTTTGAATTAATAATTAATAATTAATATATATATATATATATATATAATTTTTATCTCTCAATTTTCTATGCCTAACATGATAATGTAACTTATATTCATTAATGGCTTATAAATTGGTTGACTAAATCACGAGTTTTAAAAAATATATTCATTATTCAATATAAAAATACAAAATTCCACATAAAAAGTGAATATTCTGAGATAAATTTAAGATGGTAACATCGCTCAAAAAAAAATAAATACCTAAATATAAAATGGTATTATCAATATAAAATCATTTTTAAAGTTTCAGGGAGAGGAAAGTAATTGTATTTTCATGATTAGTGGATTACAAATCCTATTGGATCTGTGGCAAATAAATGACCAAGTCATCACGGTGTGGACTATGGAGTGTGGACCAAGGGTAAGTCTGTCAACATAAGATATTAAAATTGCAATATCTAAGTAATATTTCACCAACACAATCATCGTTTTTATGTTCTACTCACTCGATTACTTCTTAGCCGGTATGCTCCTAATACTTCTCCCAAAAGGTTAAATCCCCAATCACGATGACTCAATGGTTCAGCCGACAGGACCACAAAGAATAGGAATTTGTCTACACTGTGGCCGCTGAGTTCGAACATTGGTCTCTCACCTAAATACTGCCCACTGAACCATTGAGCGAAGCTCATAAGGGGATTGGTGCAACATTTCCAAACACAAAACATGATATATTGGAATACAAAGTAAAAATTAAATTCCCTTGCAACCAATATAGCAGAGTGGAAAGGTGGAGTATGAATGAATAGAAGTAGGTATTGTATTTACCTGGATACCAAACAAAGAGATGGTGGAAATCCCAATCCATGAATGCAAGGTATATACATGTGGAATTTTGGCCTCATGATGAAACTTGAAGACTGCATAAACCCCCACAATCCCAAGAACAAGAGCTATCAAGTGCAGAATCATGTGAACCACTTTCTGCCTCTTACTTGATGATGGCACTGTCGCATATGCCATTATACCTGACACCCAAACCAACAAATCATAAAACAACCTCAAATCCATTCCCACACAAACCAAACCCTCAATCAATCCATCAAATAATTCTTATGGATATGACATACATACCTTCCCCAGACACCAAGATGAACCCAATCACCATAAGCAGAGGATGAACCTGCATATGTATGCAACAGTGTAACTATGCACTACAAAAGCGGGTACGGGTAAACTCCGCTTTGTGATCTTAGACAGACAAAAAACTACAAGAAAATAAACCAGTCTAACTGACCAGCAACCCCGCTCTTTTGACGATAAAGGACTACAAGAAGGTAAATCAGCCTAGCTGATTGGCTCAAACTCGGCCAATAGGCCACTCCCTCAAGGAGTTGAACTTGTAACTAACCCAAGTTACTAAGTCATTACTCAAGGGTATGCATTAGGTAAACCACGTTCTTGTGGCGCTAATTGACACAAGATTACAAGAAAGTAAACCAACATAGCTGATTGGTTCAAACCAGGCCAATAGGCAGCTCTAAGCCGAACTTGTAACCTAGTGGCTACCAAGTCAATTGCCTGATCAATTTGACTGATCAATTTGATTGGAATTACCTGAATACTCATTATTTATATATATTATGGTCTCAACGCAGAGAAACTAACATTGAAAATCTTGGGTTTGTTGAGGGAGCGGAACGCCACGCCTTCCCGGAAGTGGAGCAGCCATACAAGGACCATGGTGAATATGGCTATGAACAGCAAATGAGCAAGCAGAGTTGCAGGCAGCGCCGACGCGGCTTTGAAGCTGGAGCTGCTTTGTTTCGCCATGGCTATACCGACACCCTAAACTGTTCTCTTCTCGGATATATAGCTAATTAAGGCAGAGAGGAAGTGAAGTCTGAAGAGAGATAATTAAATACACACTTTTTTGGTTTGCAGTTAATGGGTTCTTGAAATCGTCGCTAAAGGGCAAGACCGGACCAGAAATCTGTTCAATTTCTTGTGGCTGTCAGCAACCTGTCACAATGAATGCATGGTATAAAGTATAAACCTAGAGATTCCAAATTACCAAACTGTAAACATATAGTACTTAACTTTCTATGCCAAAAAAAAAAAGTCCGGGCAACCTAGTCAAATTGTTCAGGCTGTTACCTGTTGTATATAAATTTGACTCTTAGTAAAAATGATCTACTGGCCTTTTTGGTTTAAACCCGTCAGTTATGGACTTGTAATCCTTTGCCGACTAAGGTTATAAGACGTTGTTTACTCAGTACATATCTTAATGTAGTGAGTGTAGATTTCTCTGGCCATCTGATAAAAAAAAAAAAGGTAAAAGTAGAAGAAACTACCTGGAAATTAAACCTTGGAGGGTTCTGCACGGTGTTTTGTGTTATGAGGCGGCCAAAGCACTGAAACATTAACAGTTAAGAATAGTGAATGCGACTGAGGCTATAGCCCTCACAGTTTGGCAGTTGGCAATAATGGTTGTGGATATAAATAGGCTAAGTCCGAGAATATTGCCATACGTAACAACGCCATTGTTTGGCAAGTTTCTTCACTTGCATGTGCAGACATATACATCGTTTTCTTATTTTTATTTTTATTTTTTTGGTGTGCAATTCAAGGATTACCACGTATTTATTAAGGATATAATTATTAATTAACATATAATAGATGTTTCATGTATCATCTAAAAGCTAGCTAGGAAACAAATAATAACAAAGCATGACATTTCGTCTCAATTAGGTATGTTCAATCAAGTCTAAAATATATGATATTATAATTTGGATAAAGTTACATAAACCAATTTTTTTTTTTTTTTTAACCTTCTGACGTGTTAATATCAGTGTTCTAAAAATCGACTTAGGCGGTGCCTAAGTGCTAGGTGCCCCTAAGCCGTTCCGCTTTTTCACTGTTAGGCGCCCAAAAACTAGCCGGTCGCCTAGGCGTCGAAATCGGTCAAAATCAACCTAGTCGGTCGATTTCGTCCGATGTCGTCTAGTCCAGTCGTCCGTAGACTAGTTTGATAATTTGAATTTTTGGATGATTGAAGTGTTTGAGTTTTTATTTTTTAATATTGTTTTGATGGTATGACTTATGAATTATCATTATTTTATTTATTTTTTCTACCAAAAAAAAATTATTTTATTTATTTGGATATGTTATTTGATTGAATGTTGAAAATAACCCCATTAAAAATTGTCAAACTGCAAGTTTGTCATTATTTTTTGGCGCCCGCCTAAGCGCTGCCCGGACGCCCGACTAGAGCCTAGCGCCTAATGCAACCATGGTTAATATAATATTTTTTATTCATTGGTTACCATGATCGAATTGATTGACCAAACAATTAGGGATGTCAATCCGTCGTCCAGCCCTATAAGTTTTAAGCCAGCCTTGTCGAGTTGATTTTTTATCAGGTTATTTAAAAAATTGTTGATCCTAACTCCTAACCCTAATACATTGGATTGTCAGGTCTATCAAGTGAACTCGACTAAAATTTTAAAGATTCTAAACTTTTAATTTTAATAAATTAATACATTTACACTAATAAATATAAACTTATACATCATTTAATCAACCAAAACATTAATTTCTAAACACCAACTAAAACTAATTACTATATTTACACTTTATAATATAATAATATAATCATTTTTAATTTTGTTATTTATTTTCATAAATAATAATTTAATTTTTAATAAATCTATTAATATATTTATTAAATTTAGTTTTTTTTTAATAAAAAAAAATATTAAAGATGAACTTACATACAAACTCACTTTTATATATTTTGTTTCATATCATTCGTGAAACAAATATTAGCCTTGAGCCCTTGAGCGGTAAAAGCTTTCCCGTGCGGTTGACGCACCTTAAGTATTAACATCTAAATCAACGACACAATACTGTACGATACGTATACCCTCGTATTTACAGTATCACTTAACATAAAAACGATGTCGTTTTGAGCAATACATTATGCACCCTGATGCACGATATAACGATCCCTTATCGTGGCTTCTACTCCAAGTCTTGGCCCTTGACCCACGGTTACAACTCAAGGATAAGAGTATGAACACAAAGTTTCTTGGCATCCTTCCTCAATGCTGGGCTAGTAACCATTATCCGTACTTAATGATAGGTTTTGTAATCACTTTCAGTGATAAAGATTTGACCAAAAAGCTTAAGCATGACTCTTTTTACAAAATTGTATAAATAATAGAGGAAGAACTCACAAGGAACTACATAACATCACTCAAATTGCAAGGAAATTTCAACCAAGTTGGTTAGACAGTTAATTTGATAATCATAAAATTTTGATCAGTTCATTGAACTAATCATTAATAATCGTTTACGAGTTTCATCCAAAATACACATTTAAACGGTACTTACAAGCTTCTTCGTAAATCAATGCAACACTCAAATTAGTTGTTGCCCAATCATTTCTGAAAGAAATAAAAAAAAAACACACATTTCCATGTCAAGTAATTCCATATTACTTAAGGTGTTTGATTTCTAGAAATGGGACCAACAAAACCTATTTAATTTGTGATTTTACACGTTACACCAATTACGGTGTACTACGTAAAAGTTTATGGAACGTCTGCTTTAATTTCCCTTTAAAATCACTCCAATAACGTATATAAGAAGCTAGATGTGCATCACTACTTTTACTAAAGGATTACCTTAGCAAATGCAATTTGATAACATCTTAACTTTAAATTAGTGTTAATTCAATTTTTTGTCATAAATTTATAAATGGTAGTTCATTTTTATTAGAACATCCACATTTGGTCCTATTATTATTGTAACATGATCATTTTTGGTCCCCCGTCAACAAAATTGTTGACATAACGTTAAATACAAGAGCATTTTGATTTTTTTTACAAAGTGGATTGATCCGCTATATTTTATTTTTACTTTTTTAAAAAAATTCATATTTGAAGACCAAAATGTCATTGTATTTATATTTTATAGAAATTTAAACACTTTTGTTGATAAAGGACCAAAAATGGTCATGCCACAATAATACTATGACCAAAATGGGATGTTTTGAAAAAAAAAAAGTACTAAAAGTGAAATGACACCTATAAATGTAGGACCAAAAATGGAATTAACTCTTTAAATTAGTTAAAATTAAATGTAACAATCAAATAATGATTTTAAAAAATCTACACTACTAATAAAAACAAAATCCAAATTTAGCAACTTTCCACCAAAATTACTTCCACAGCTATTACAATATAAAATCTGATAATTATCTATACAATTAATAAAAACAAAATCCTCTATTTTAACTTCTCATCCAAAACAACTCTATACTATTAAGGTTTGCTTAATATTGTAAAATAGTGGTGCCAGTAATAGCAGTGGCGGTTCCAGCACTGCCCACACCAATGACAGAGATATTCCGGTGGTCATAAAATCACCCGATGGATGTGAAGATGAGATAATAGACTATATCCATGTTGGACCTAATATGGGGTATACAGCTCAAACATTTTCTTAATATTAATTAATTAATTAATACCACTAGAGATCCAAATATCAATGTCAATCTGGGCCACCTAACTGAGTGCATGGTCATGCCACAACTCATACCAATGTCTTCAACTGGTAAAGACTAGAGAAGTATAATATCTCTTCCCATATAGCTTCACAGTAGTTTGATGTGGGAGACATGTAATATCAGAGCAATAATTTATGGTATCAGAGCAATATATATATATATATATATATATATATATATATATATATATATATATATATATAGAGTAAGTTATTTTATAAAACAAAAACCTAACATTTGAAACATATCAAATATTTTCATCTCAAACACTTTGTGGTGTGAGTGTATCATGTGTGCGTCGTTCATGCATGATGCGTGCGTTATGTGATATCAGAGAAAAAATTAATGGTATCAGAGCAATCTATATATAATAAGTTCTTTTATGAAATAGTTATTAACACCCATTAATAAGTAAGCTATTTAAATTTATATTTTAATTAATATTGACAAATCTATACTATTAATTAAAACAAAATCATTTCCCGTCCAAAACAGTCCTATACTATTAAGGTTTGCGTAATATTGTAAAATAGTGATACCAGTAATAGCAGTGGCGGCTCTAACACTGCCAGCATTGCCCGCACCAATGGCAGATATTCCGGTGGTCATAAGACTACCATATGGAGGTAAAGATGAGATAATAAACTATATACATGTTGGACCTAATATGGGTGGGGTATACTACCCTTGCATATGTCCTTAGGGACATGGCACCAGTACTCAAAACCACTACCCCATATCTTGTGGCCATGAAATGATTACTCGATCACTTATATGGAAGATGATTATTATGGTCAAGATGTAGTCAATAGACTCATTTCTGCATTGATCAGCAGGAGTTCCATGGGAACTAAATGGGGAGGTGATCCCCATATTAGCCGGTGCTAGAATTAACTTTGACAGGAAATTCTTTGTTTTAAGAAAATTTCTTACAAACAGCACGGGTTCCATGGGAACTAAATGGGGAGGTGATCCCCATATTAGCGGATGACAGTTATTTTATATTCGAACTCATGACCTTTAGTCTGCCTCTGATACCAAATTGAAGCATGTGCTCCATCTCAACTAAAAGCCGAAGCTCATAGTTGGATTGCACATTAATGGCTACATGCTCAACAGTTTGTTGTGGGTGACATGTAATATCCGAGCAATAATTAATGATATCAGAGCAATATATATATATATATATATATATATATATATATATATATATATATATATATATATATATATATATATATATATATATATAGTAAGTTATTTTATGAAACAAGAACCTAACATTTGAAATATATCAAGTGTTTTCTTGAATTGTAGGCTATGCTCAAGTAAATTCTTTCCTATCAGCCCATATAGCTTTTGGGCATGGCCTTTTGAAAAACAGAAAAGAATTTAGGACACTGAATAATCAAGAACAGACAGTCAATGAAATTCAGACAACAGACCCCCACCCCCAAAAGAATATATATTGACATTGATCACTATTATTTTCAATAACAACCAATAATAATTAATTGAGCAATCAAACATATAATCTAGCCATATACACTAAACACATCTAAGATTTATAGAAGCTCAAATTCATTAATCAAATAGCATAAATGACAGAAGGTGATTTACCAGAAGGAAATCTAGAATTTCGTAGTAGCATCAGCGGCGGAGGAAGAGGAAGAGTGGTGGTGGTGGAAGATGATGTGCACAACGGCCTTCCCGGCGGCGATCTTGCTGCGCTTCAGCCGTAGATTAAGATCAAGCATGAACTTCTTCTTGGAAATCACTTGTCGCAGCATGAATAAAGTCGCCCTCCTAACGTTCCAAAATCTCTTCGCTATAACGGGCAAATTGTTGAACTCTATTTCTGTCGTCTTCTTTTTTCTTGAGATTTTGAATACTTGTTTATGTT